CCCCAAAACCCCAAAACCCCAAAACCCCAAAACCCCAAAACCCCATAGTGCCTTAGAATCAATTAAATAATGAATATCCATTTTAAAAATTAAATTATAATGCTAAATAAATCATTAGATATTAGCAAGAGAAGTCTAATCATTTCATTACTTAATTTAATTTTTCACTTCTTCATTCTCTTATTACTTTTGTTGACATCCATTATATCACATTCTAGTTTACTTTCTGATAATTGAGTAAATCCTCCTCCATTTCTGGCACTCAATTCATCACTGATAGATACATTATCTTTAGAGCTGCCTAATCTTTTTCCTAGAGCACTTTCAAACTTTGTCTACTTTACTTTTGAATTTTGAGTGCTATTGGAAATAGTCTCAAATTCTACGTTGTGTTGAGTTGCATATTCATTACTTCCTGATTCAATATTTATTCCTTGATTATTGGTTTAGTTATAATTAGTCAAGTACTAATCAAATGCTTTTCTAAGTTCTGTACTTAGCCTCTTTCTATGATCGTCACTATCTGCTTCTGACAAAACAGCTTAATCTTTGGCAATGAATAATGAAGCATCATCTGATGCAGCAATTGAACCAGCTAATGAATTAGTCCTTGAGACTCTATGAGCAATTGGTTGTTGAATCTTTGAACCAGAACCTGCATAATTTCCCTAAGGGTTCAGATTATGCTCAAATGAATATTCTGATAAACTTCTTTAAAATAGATTCTTAAATGATGTCTAAAAATTAATGAGTTCTAAGCTTAAAATACTTACTTTATCAAAATTATCATCATAGTTTGCATATGGATTAGGGGACATATTTGGAGGAGTATTCATGTTCAAACTTTGATTAGTAATTTGAGGGAAATTTATTCTTTGATAAGATCCTTGATGAGGTGTAAATCCACTTCTAGAGCTGTGACCAAGGACTGAGTTCGATCCGCTTGCCAAATTGCCTATAGAAGATAATCCTATTTTATAAATTTAAATATTTTACCTCTTTAAGCTTAGTTTTGAGAGTTTTAATTAATGTTTCCAATATTTTCAGGATCTATCTAACTTAGCAATTGCTGAATATTGTTCTTTAAGCTTGTGTTTCCTGAATTATTTAACCCTTTCGCGAGTTACTCTAACAAAGAAAGACCTTAATTTTAATTTTATGAACCTAACTAACCTGCAATATTACTCGAGCCTAATAGAGTAAAAATATCATTTAGTTCATTACCTACTTAATCTATTTAAGAATTACCAATCCTTACCTTAATTATTTCCCTTGAAGGTACTTTGGGATATATTCAAAATTTGATTTATCAATCCTGGTTAATTCAATATTTTAGTAATGAAACCCATTATGTCGCTTGAGTTCTCGTTCCTTAAGACTAGTTAGTCAAGAGAGGAATTATTTGCTTAAGAAGATTAATTGTTGTTTTATAGTCCAGTTGCATTAACTCGAGGATTAGTACTGGAGTTAGCTGTTGCATTGGAACTTTAAATGTATTATTAGTTCATTAATTCTCTTTAGGGTCCAAGATTGTATCCACCTGCTTAAGCGATACAAGTAAATGCAATTACAAAGAGTTTTTCAAGACTCTATTCCCTTTCTCTTGATTTATACAGCTCTTGCCACAAACTTTAATTGGTTTATTAATATTCTTTCAATTTTAGGTCCTATTGTCTGAGCTTCTCATCCAGCTAGGTGTATTTCTAATCCATACTCATTTTCTTTTAAAGTCAAAATGATAAATTTACAAGTTATCTAAGTGCATCAGGATTGTCTAGAAGCATGTTAAGTCCGTTTTATGGGTACCCTTGTCCATTTAATTGATCCCCTCTTCCATGATATAGTTCCCCACCGTCATCAAATGTATGATCATGAGATTAAGGTGGCCTGCTATTAGTTTGTGGATATTTGCTATATTGTTGGTGGTATAGCTGTTGATTCATTTATCCATATCCTGGCATCATCTTTTCAGCCTAAGGAACTGCGTTCTTTCTCTTAATATCAATAAGTAAACTTCTAAAAAAAGTTTGAAATTTGATGGAAATTGACTCTTACTTTTGGTTCTTTTTAAATAGATTATGGCTAAAGCAATGTTCATTTGAATTGTTGCGCGTCTTATGGAAATCATACATATTAAGTTAACGCACAAAAGAAGAAAAGTTGTTATGTTTGAAAAACTTCGGCAAAATTTTCTCAGCAAACTCATTCGGTTGCTTTACAATGAACCCATCTTCGGTTTCGTTCCAGCAAATGATGTTGTCGTAGATCGGGTCCTATATTAAATTAAATTGATGAACTTTTAAGAAATAGAAATCGTAAGATATAGGCGCTTAAATTTTATAGAAGGGGGCTATCCCACTTACATTGACGATATCGTATGTCTTTAACAAGAAAGAGGGGACATTAGAGTACTATTGCTACTCGATGAGTGACTCTTATTTTGCAATCGCTTACTGTTCTTTCTTTGACTTTAGTCTGTGCGATGATTATTAGTTTTATGACTATTTCATGATAATTAAAGTTAAGAGAGCTCCTTGTTTCTGGAAATTTCTTGGAAATATTATAATTAAGATTAAATAGAAGAGTTTATCGAACTAACTTTGATTGATTATATTTTGAATTCTAACTTATAACAAAAATAATTTAAATTGCAAGCAAATAAAATGTCAGATTCAGGTATTTAATCTCTCATTTAATTTTTAATTAGAAGAAGATGATAGATCAGGATCGGGTTCTGAAGAAGAGGAAGAGGAACAAGATGAAAGTGGATCCGGAGAAGGTTCAGGTAGTGACGAAGAAGGCAGTGGTTCTGGAAGTGGTTCAGGAAGTGATGATGAATCAGGGTCAGGTTCAGGATCAGATTCAGATGATTCAGATAAAAAAAAGAAAAAGAAAGGTGATAAGGGAAAGGAGAAAGATAAGAGCAAGGTAGAGGAAGAAAAAGCATTACCAGTGTTTAAACCAACAGGCTATTAAAGTATAATGAGCACCCTGAAGGATATTAATAAAGATCTCGATGAGATAACAATTAATGTTGAAAAAGTTCACAATAAATTCTCTCCTTTAAAACCTAAATACACAAGTACTTTTACTAAAGAAAGAGAAAATAAGCCACCTCCCCCAACATATCCAAGAAATTATCATCCTCCATTACATGAATAGGAAAGAAGAAGAAGTTACTCGCCAAAGAAATATGATAACTACTAAGGAGATGATGATTATGATCCTGATCATTTGAATGACAGAGATGATAACTATTATGAAAATAGATAAGATGAATATCCCTCAAGAGGGAATAATAATTATAGATCCAGTGGTGGCCCTGGGCCTAATTAAAGTTACCACAGCAGAGGTTAAGGAAATTAGAGTCAAGGTGCCTACAATACTTTTGACAATAGACAAATGAGTAATTCTAGGGGATAAAGTGAAAGGAATTAATAATAATCATCTTTTCAAAATACAAACAGATATCCACCCAGTTAGGGATATAATAATTAATAATACCCATCATAAAAATAAGTAGGTTTCCAAAATTAATCATTTAACCAAAGCTATACGCAACCTAATCTATAAAGAAATATATCTCCAGCTAGTAGATTCATAAATAATCCATCAACTAACTATAACAACTAGAACTTATTCGTTGGTGGTTAACCACCAATGACAAGCTATACCTAATTTTATCGTAATTAATCTGCTCTTTAAAATACGCTTATGTATCCTTAATAATAATAAAATTAAGGCTATCTTTAAGCATAGAGTAATCCTCAAATGTTGGGGAGTTCAAATATTATGGGAGTCAATAGCACGCCTTAATTTGGATAATTTAATTATGGAAATCCTTAATAAAATTCATAATCATTCTCATAATAATCTAGAAAATTTGATAACAATACTCTAACTAATCCAGTTGCCAGGGAAGGTGAGGTCTAAAGAGTCGAAAATTTATAAGAAGCAATAGACGCACTTTTAAGATGATTAAATAATTTTTTGATATGTCAATTTTTTAACTTGTTCAAGAATTTATCATTTATCATAATGGGGTTTTGGGGTTTTGGGGGGATCGGAAGAGCGTC